AAAAAAAAAGAACAGAGAGAGAGAGAGAGAGAGGAAGGAGGGTCATGGCGTTGTGGAGAGACGGTGGTGAAACTGAACGATAAGTGAAACTCCCAACGGAGGCAAAGCGGGAATACGGGTTACGGCACCCTCGAGGACACTAGAACGCTCATATCCTAATAGAAACGTAATCGCGTAGTCCTGCACGCTGAATAAATTATTAGCAGGCTTACGGTATGGTTCGGAGGGTTCGCGTAACACACCATATCGCCTGGATTAACGACGATCTGCACCGTGGGACAGTCGAGGATTTATTCGGCCGTGACTCTCCACGCTTATTTATTATTATTTTGGCCCCATTACCCATTATTGCCTCGCGATTTTTCGACGCGCCAGCCAATATACTCTGTTATCGCGAGAATAATCGCTGCATCAACGACGATGTATTCACTGCTTTTTTCCCCCAATTTATCATTCTTCCGGAAACTAAAGATCGCGGACATTTCGATCACGGCTTAACGCGAAAAATTTCGCACCGGTGTAATGTTTTATCGGAGAACGACCACTGGACAATGCGAATTTTTGTGCATTTATGGGAAATCTGAAGAGTCAAACGTGTATAAAATATCCAAGATGGTTTTTTAGAATAAACTTCAACGAGCCAGGAAGTAGCTTGAAAATTTCCTACATTCTTTTCGATAATAAAAAATACGCGTAAAAAAAAAAAAAAAATGTGCAATCTAATAACGACATACGTGTAATCAGTCGCCGAAATCGAGGAGTCGTAATAATTAATCTTATCGATCGTTCCCGAAACGAGTGCCTTATCAAACTAATTTGCAGGGAGACGTACAATCACATGAGTCAGATATTTTTAATCATCTGTGACCCTGAATCTCGTCGAACCTCCGTGGAATTTTAGATACCGAGCCGACTCGATAAATTATCGATCGTCACGTTATTATCCAGAAAATTCGTTGTGTAGAAAAATATTCATAATACGTGCCTAAACACTTTATATGCAGATCGTTGAAATTTAAAAAATGACACTGATTCAATTTAATTTATTCAAAATAATAAATATTAATTAACCG